TTAAATACGTGAATTATGTCTACTTCTACCAGAAAAACAATTTCACTTCCTACAATCAATGAAGTTAAAGGATATAATACAACGGAGGATCTGATAGAGTTTTTAGGCAAGCAAAACTTAGGACTTGGGAATAAGCATTTCGATATTCTTCGTGAACAAGAAATTACTGGTCGGAGTTTTCTTAGGTTGAATGTGGATAAGCTCAGGAGCTATGGTTTAAAAGGAGGACCAGCTGAAAACATCGCTGAATTTATTGAGGAAATCAATGGTGAAAGACAGGGTAAGTAGTACCATGACTGTATTTGAATATTCCAAACCTATACTGCTTTCTCCACGTATTATAAACTTATTGTCATAGTAGAACGCGTTGCAACTAGAAAGCTTGGTATACTATTTAATGTTTTACTAACTTGTTTTTTTTTCACATTTCTAACCCTCATTTCTTCCTTCCATTATTCATGATATTCCGTTTTCTCTGTTTCTTGTTTACCACGACTGCATTCGAATATTCCAAACCTAATTTCGGTTATTAACTTGTGCTATAATAGACGATGGACCACTGAGAAAACGCCCAAGGTTAATCGAAGGTATGCTATAATCAGTTTTGTTTTTATTCCGAACTAAATTTAAAATATCTGTATTCTATGCCAAACTCATAATATTCATCTAATCAATTGTCTCACTTTCTAGTTCTTGATTCAACGTCTATGGTGTGGACTGACCAGGAGAAAGGTAAAGCTTTCCAAAATTCTTATTGTTTAATGGCTATTATTATTGATTTAAAAATGCATTATAACATATATATATATAAATCAAAGAAACCAGAGAGGCATTGCTCCAAGGTAAGTAAATTTTGATGATAAATACCTAAAACATTCAGAAAGATTGATTACTACTGGTTTTTCTCGTTGTAAAAGATTCTCCAAACGTAATTGTCAAAGGCGGATATTCTCCAGGCAAATCGAATTTTCTTAATTTCGTTAAGTCAGGTGTTTTTGTGGACAAATCGCTATTCATTATAGAATATATAATATACAGTGAACGGGCTATACTTATTACTCGCCCCCATCAGTTTGGCAAATCTACAAACCTTTCAATGCTTTATACCTTTCTAAAACTGGTGTCAGAACAAGAGAAAGAACAAAAGCGTGCACTGTTTAAAGGCCTCAAAGTCGCACAATTTGATTGGTTTATGAAGTTGCATTTAGGCAATTGGCCTGTGATTTACATTAGTTTTAAGGTAAATGAGCATAAAACAACTCTTCTTTACGCAGAATAACCATATATACTTATTTTGTTAGGACCTGAATTATGAGTCTTGGGAATCAATGCTAAGTTCCATCAGGAAAAGAATATCGGACCTTTACCAAGAACATTGTTATATTATGGATAATAAAAAGCTTTATAAAAATGATGAATCTTTATTTACAAAAACTCTTGATGGAACAATTGATAATTCATATTTAATGGATGCTCTCTCCAGCATGTCACGCTATCTTCATGAGTACTTTGGCAAACAAGCTATTATTCTCATTGACGAATATGACTGGTCAATGGAACATGCAGGAAACTTTTACGATAGTGCTAATTCTTTTTTTAGATCTATGTACTCTATGGTAGCGAAGGTAAACTATTCTTCATTGTTACTTAGTGCATATTGTTTGGGTTGTTGCTAATTTGTAAATTTCGGTGCAGGACAATGAATACGTATATAAGGTTCTGTTTGTTGGACTGCTTCCTCTAGGCCAAGCAAGTTTCCTTTTTGGACTTAACAATGTTGTACATTACCAAATGCATAAATTACCTGGTATATACGGCCGTGCCAAATATTCAGATATGTTTGGATTCGCAAAAGCAGAAGTCAAGCTTCTTTTAAGTAAAAATAATCAGAACTTTGAACTTGATAATTTACGCTCCCAATATAACGGGTATCAAACTAGTACCGGTGTGCGTATCTACAACCTACACTCGATTATATTATTTCTAAATGAGGGTATTGTTGGGAATTACTGAGTAAATAGTAGTTCGACAGTTACGGTCAAGGAATGTCTAAAAAAATGTAGCAAAAATATTGAAGAAGAGCTCCAGAGTCTTTACTACTCATTTTATTCGTTACAAGATGATGATTCATTACAAAACCAGGTTAAAGTGAAACTCATGCCACATCTCCGATACGACGTTCTCGAGAATGAGCCAGAAATAAATGCGATCTACACATTACTATGTTATAGTGGCTATTTGACCGTAAATTTCGATGATAAATTTAATAATAAAGTTGATGAACAATGAAAGCCTACTGAAGTCGAACTTATTATACCAAACATAGAAGTTGCTGAACAATGGAAGCAGTAGATTATCGATTTCATAGGGGTAGATCGGCTAATGACGAGTGACATATTCAACTCGTTATTCAAGAAAGATATTAAGGTGTTTTGCGAACAATTTCCTGCTCTTTATATGGAAATAATCTCCTGTTTTGATATTGGTGATTCTAAAAGAGCCAAGTTATATGAGAGCTGGTACTATACATTTGTCCTTGGGGCACTTGCAATGTATCACAGTAATTATTATCAGGTCGTCTCCAATCGTGAAGCTGGAAATGGTCGTCCTGATGTCTGCATCATCTCAATTAACCCAAAATTTGATACTTGTATTATTTTTGAGTTTAAGCTTGCTAAATCAAAAGACCATGAAGGAATGAGAAAGCTTGCTATGGATAGGCTAAAGCAAATTACTGATAAGAACTATCGGTTAAATACTGCAAGTCATATCGAAGCGATAGTTGAGGTTGCTATTGCTTTCTTTAAAAAAGACACCTTCGTCTCTGCTCAACTTTTACAACGTAAAAAAGGTGGAAAAAAGGGTAAACTTTCAACAAATAATTGGGATATTGTTTCATCAGCTGTGTCGAGTTAAAGGAAGAACTTTATCAACAATTACATATGTGTTATTAATATTTTGAAACATTTATTGTGACATATGCTAATGTACGCTCTTGCTGTTAATTCTTTTCTCTGGATTTTTAATATTTATAAATAATAAAGTTATGCTTGTATAATTATGATCAGCTTAATAGAAATAGCCTGTATGCTATGTATCGTAATGTTGTAATACCATAAAGGCTAATGAATTATTTTTTATAAAATATTTAGAAAAATTTGTATGATCTTTCCGATTTTGTATATGAGAATTTGTTAACTTGATTGTGAACATTATTTGGACCACGTCATTTTTTGTAGAGTTATGTTGTGCTAGAATATTAGTATCTTTACCGTAATCAATAAAGCTTGCCCTGGTGGCAAATTTTACAGATAATCGTGTTTACTTTTGCATATGTATTTCATGAATTTTTATTAATTCGAAATTTTGAATAAATATGTATCTTATATAAAAATTATTATCGAACATGTCATTAGAGCTTGAATTATTAAGACAGCGAGTTGCCAAACTTGAGGTAGAAAATATCAAATTAAAACAGATCATAGAAGAAATAGCTAATCTTAGAATCAAAAATAGAAAGCTAAAACAAATAATAAACCAAAATCGAACTACTAATAATGCTTCACAGTCTCCAGTTTCTCTGATATTATCAGTAACTTCACAGACGCCTATTCTATCATCTATTAATGGTCAATCTGACAAGGATGATAGCACCAACTCTGTGAATCTAGAACAGGCACAAAGTGATACCCCTGAAAAAATTGTTTCTCCCGAATAGATAGAGAACACATCTGATAACGCTTCTCATCCTGATACATATCAACCTATAATCACAGAGACTAAAATGTTGGAAGATAAGGAAGTCAATGAATTCCTAGATTTGAAAGATAAGGAAAGGGTTAGTAATATGATAAGAGAAAGAAACAGAGAAAAAAAGTTTCAGGACCAAGACTTATCTTCAGTAGAATCAGAAAAAACCGTGAATAAAATTCATGATCAAAATCTAGACGGATTCTTGTCATTATCTAAACCATCTAATTCTAATTCTACAGACCTATTCGAATATAATTATGATCTTTTTCAGCCTGATAAGAACCAGATTGTAGAACAAGATTTAAAACAAGAACTATCTGCCTCTCCAACCTTCAGAAAAAATATAACTAGTAATCAGAACTTACTGGATGGTAAAAATCAACATAATCAAGTTATGGCACAAAGCATAGTTTGTATGTTTCAAAAAGCAATTCAATCTGGCCAGGAAGAAATATTGCATTGGTGTTGCTATATAGAAAGATATGATAAAAGGGTTAATGAGATTACTTCCAATGGCAAAGTTAAGATTAAAACAGCAAAGAGTTTGGTATACAAAGAAGTTAAACAGCTACTTCCTGATATTACAGATGCAAATTTGCATCAGAAAACTCTTAGAGCTAGAAAAATCTATAATCTTTTTAATGCCATAGGAATAGAAAAAATTGAGCAAGTTACATGTAGTGCAAATACTATTTCAAACCTTACTTACACTCAAATTCAAAATATTATAAATCAGCATGGTGGACAATTGTGGTAGTACAAACTTCCAAATTTGAAATTTGTGACTCAGGACTGATCTGTCCAATAAAAGTACAGGGATGATCGATCACATGAAATTAAACAATTGGTCATATTCGTACACGTGATAATT